TTTTGTTTAAAATTAATTAGATTACATAATCACATACAAATTAATTATATTTCATAATTCTATAATTGGGGTAGGAGGTTTAAAGACACACAACTTTAAGAGTTAAGTAATTATGAAAAAAATATTCTGAAAGTTTGTGCTTTATTATTATAAGTTAGACAATCAATTATTCAAATTTAAAATACTAAACATTATTTTTATATATTATTTATAATTAAATTTCTTAAAAATTGTTGTCATTGATTTAAAAAGTCTAAAATAAAATTATTTTATATTAATTATGAATTTAATTAAAATATTCATAAAATTAATATAAAAGATAAATATAATAAAAAAGCATGACAGATAAAAGCATTTTGATTAGAACTGTCAAAACGGGCCACCCGGCCCGGCTCACCATGAGTTCGTCACTTAGTGAGCCAATCCAACCCGGTTCATTTATTAGCGAGCCAGAAAAATTCGAACCCGGCCTGATCCACCACGGGTTGGTGGGTAAACGGGTTGACTCACTGGCTTACTTAATTACAATTTTTTTTAAATAAAAAAATTTATAAACTTTCTATAATTAAAATATAAACAAATTTCACTCCCAACATGAGTGTTTAATTAATTTTGAAAATAAAAAATTTAAATAAATTTTTCAAGCAAAAAAAAATAATAAATATTTTTTTATAAAATTAAATTTTAATAAAATAAAATTAGGTAGGTAGGTGGGCCAACCCGGCCCATCACAGGTTCAACCCGCATGAGTCGGGTTTAAATGAACCGGGTTATAATCTGACCCACATGAAAAAATATATTTTTTTCAAATCTAACCCGACTCAAACCTGTGGTGAACTAGATTAGTCCATAGGTTGTGACCATTTTGACAACTCTAATTTTGATATAATATTTGCATTCACTGCTAAATTAAATTGATCATAATGTTTTTATTTGAATTAAAAGAAAATTAAGTTTAATGAAAAAAATAATTTGATATTACTGATTTTTATTTCTTTTATGAAGAATAAATATTGATAAAATGAATTAAATTTATATAAAATTATAAAATTATATTAAAAAAAAATTTATTCTTTAAATAATATAATTTCATGAAATGCTATCTATAAAATAAATTGAAATATTATTTTTAATTTTCTAAATTAATTATTTTAAAATTTTAATTCATATCCACTTTAACCATATTAAATAAAAATATTTTTATAATTTTTTATATTATTTAACTATTATTTTTCATAATTAAATCTATTAAATTTTGGAGACTCATTTTTAGTTCACTTTTTATCAATCACACTTTTCACTTTTTTTCTTCTTCACTTTTTCTTACCTTTCCACTTTTTTTTCTCACTTTTTCTTGTACTTATTTATTTTCTCTTTTAGTTACACATTTTCGTCTCTCTTTTTTATTATTATTGGGCTTATCATAAAATTAATTCACATTTCCAAGATCCTTTATCTTATCATAAACTTTATGCAATTGCATTCAAATGATATATATAAACTAAATATATTTTATGTTCTCACATTTGAATATTTTTTACTCTTTTTCAATATTTTTATTTATTGTTTATTTTTTTTCAAGAGAATGTTTAATTCTTATTCTAAGTATTCAATTGTATAAATTTTTTATTTACTAGTAATATAACAAATTTATCTTTTTTATTTTCTTATATTTACTTTTTGTTTTATTTTAAAAACTCTTTCAGTTTTACTAAAACATTTTTACCATCTTTTAACAGTTTGATTATTTTCATATTTAATAAATTTCCTTAGATCTCTAAGGTATTTTGGTCTTATTATATCTTTAATTATTTATTTGTTTTCATTTAATGGTGTATCAAATTATTTCTAATTACATTTAATTATTTTTACTTTTTTTTGATATTTTTATTTGTTGTTTATTTTTATCATATAGAATATTATTTTGATATTTTTTATATAACTATTTTTATTTTTTAAACATTAGAAGTGTAATTTTATAAATAAAATTGTATAAAATAATTTTGTTTACTTTTAATGTTATTGTCATGAATCTTTATTATCACCCTTTAATATATATTGAAGTTCAAAAGATAAAAAGTCAATGTTAAATTTTAATTATTATTAATTAAATATTTTTTTGGTATGATTTCATTCAAATGTATTATAACTTTTACTAATATGTAAAAAGTATTATGATTTACAAAATGAGAATAAAAATATATTTTAATGTTTGTAAATTTCATAAATATTTTAGTTCTCATGAAATTTTATTTAACACTTTAATTTAAAAGATATATAATTACAATTTTTTTCTAAATATTTGATATTAAAAAATAAAAGTTCATTAATATTGAATATTTGATAATTTTTTATTTTCTTTATAAGAATATCTTATAATTTTATAAAAGTTAATTAATTGATATTAAAATAGTATGAGTACGGAAAAAGTACAGAGTATACTCGTTATTACGTAGGGATAAAAGAAAAATTTCATACTTATTAAGTTTGGACATGATAACGAAATCTCTCCCATTTTAGATATTGGTTGAAATAAACTAAAAAATATATTATAAATAATGAAATTAAATTTTGGTAAACTTTGAGAAGAAAGAAATAAAACTTGTGGAAATATAATGTGAAAGTTATAAATTTTAATATAAAAACATGGTTTGCATGAGTAGAAAGGATTTAATGTATATTTAAGCCACTCCTTTCTGATAATTACTCAGAAGATATTTATGAGTATGTTGTGAGTAAAAGTCATGTGAAAAGAAGGGTGTAGCATGAAGTGAGAAGAAGACTTGATGAATTTGATCTAGTTATAAGATTGGTAATGATTTTCAAAGTTGAACCAACATAACAGAGTTATGGGATTTTGTGAGCCGGCCATGTAAATTTTTAATTTCTTTATGGACATGGTTGGTAACCCTCACCTTCCAACCTTAGTTTTTTGTTGGTTCTAGAAGCACTAGAACAAAATAACCTTTTAAAATAAGTGCAAGAATCTCCAAGGTTGGTGACCCACCTCATCATCCACTCATCTCTTTCTTCCTCCTCTCATGCCACACTCCAACACACTCATTTTTTATATATCATGAAATGCCTACTATTCTTATCTTCCGGTATTTTGACTGTGACCAAGAGATCTTGCCATGTGGTCCCTCCTCATGAAGATTAGATTAGGAACACCCCCAAAAGTGAAGGACCAATGTAATTTGCTTTCCCGTTATTCAACGCCCGCATATATTCCATAATTCTAAAATCATTAAAAGGGCATCATAACACGTTGACAATAACCAATCCATCTCCTAATTCATTTCAGCTTACCTTCAATACCTCTGTAAAATCTTTTTAATCAGATCTCCACAATCTCATTCCATCAATCTTAATTACTTAACATGATAAGCTCTGCTATATGGTTGACTTTATTTAAAAAAATATTTCACTTTCAGGGTGAAAGCTCTTCTGTGATGCCAGAAATATTCACCCAAAAAGAACAGAACATCAGCAAAGGATGATGAGTATGTATTTTGAGTTTAGGATCCAGACATGTCACACACAATGATTTTTGTCTCATCTCATCAAGGTTTGGTCTTAATGTTTTTGGAAACAAATAGTCTATCACTATAGATGGCCCCAGAGTCAAAGTTCAAACCCTTAACGGCAAGCAAGACACTATTGACCATCGAGAATTTCAGAATTTGAGATAAGGACAAAAACTCTAACTAAAAGTTGAACGTGCTTTTTTAATTACATTTCAAAGCAATATTTCCACTTCTCTTATCTTCTATGGGTTTTTTGCTTTTGTGGTCAACTCGTGGGTTCATATCAAGTGTTAATGTTCTACGGGTTTCCAACTTGCATATGAAAAGTCCAACAACCTCCAACTTGGACTTCACAACATCGGAAACTGCCAGTAGGCCCATTTACTAATACTGGTCATGTCTCTACCCATGATTGTTTCAAAATTAGCGCGAATCATTTTTAGATACTATAAAATTTGAACATGTCACATATCTTCAAGAACAAAATACCAAATACATTATTTGACCTCAAAATTTTCGAACGAAAACATCTTAGTAGCACCAGAAGCAGCAACAATATTACAAGAAAGAAAGTGTAATTTCACTTCTTTTGGTGCCACGAAACGAAACATTCAACGCTAAAGCTGCAACATCAAGTTACAAACCAAACCAAAACACATGAAACCAACCCAACTGAACCTAGGCAAACATAACGGGTTAAGGGCTACTTATTCTTTCTGAATCCCAGAAACATTAACTTGAAAGAGCAACGAGAGATGAAATTGCATGGAGCAACTAACAGTGCCTGGTGCAGAAGCAGCGTCTACGAAATCCGCGACAGTGGCCACCAGTGAAGCCTTCAACATGGCAAACCGAAGCACAGTTTTGGTGGCTGACGCACATCCCCTTAAATCGATGGCTCTTTGACTCACAGTGTCTTCCCTCCGTTTGAACCATCATCTCTGCATTATCACAAACAAACACAGTTTATAATTACGTTCTTACTATCTATTCCTATTGAGTGGTATATATATTGCATGCACAAGCTTACCAGAAGCAAGGATAATGAGCAACATGAAGAAAAACCCGAATCGTGCCTTGTCCATTGCTGGTTTATGTACCACACTCTCACCCAGATCAATATAAACAAAAGGGTGTTACTCCCATCTATTTATAGCTAGTTGAGAAAGTAACAAATCGGTAAGTAGCAGAAATTTCTAAAACTAGACGTAAATCTAAGTTCATCCATGTTAGAGGGAAGTTACTAGAGATATTGGTTATTATTATACACAAAATATATTTTAGTCGTTTAAAGTAGGATTTGCTTTTAAAAAAAGTGAAATAAAGTATGATATTAGCGTACAATGTTGTGTCCGAGGAGTAAAATGTTGGTTAAGGAATCTGTTCACGTGAAAGGAGCAACCGACATGAGTGTCCAGGTGTAGCAGAAAGTGGTAGGTGAAGGACATGTATAATGCATCAAAAAANGAAACATTAACTTGAAAGAGCAACGAGAGATGAAATTGCATGGAGCAACTAACAGTGCCTGGTGCAGAAGCAGCGTCTACGAAATCCGCGACAGTGGCCACCAGTGAAGCCTTCAACATGGCAAACCGAAGCACAGTTTTGGTGGCTGACGCACATCCCCTTAAATCGATGGCTCTTTGACTCACAGTGTCTTCCCTCCGTTTGAACCATCATCTCTGCATTATCACAAACAAACACAGTTTATAATTACGTTCTTACTATCTATTCCTATTGAGTGGTATATATATTGCATGCACAAGCTTACCAGAAGCAAGGATAATGAGCAACATGAAGAAAAACCCGAATCGTGCCTTGTCCATTGCTGGTTTATGTACCACACTCTCACCCAGATCAATATAAACAAAAGGGTGTTACTCCCATCTATTTATAGCTAGTTGAGAAAGTAACAAATCGGTAAGTAGCAGAAATTTCTAAAACTAGACGTAAATCTAAGTTCATCCATGTTAGAGGGAAGTTACTAGAGATATTGGTTATTATTATACACAAAATATATTTTAGTCGTTTAAAGTAGGATTTGCTTTTAAAAAAAGTGAAATAAAGTATGATATTAGCGTACAATGTTGTGTCCGAGGAGTAAAATGTTGGTTAAGGAATCTGTTCACGTGAAAGGAGCAACCGACATGAGTGTCCAGGTGTAGCAGAAAGTGGTAGGTGAAGGACATGTATAATGCATCAAAAAAGGCACGTATAGTGGTAACCGCTGGAAAGTGTTGATTCTGGACAAAAAGTTTCAGAACACAAGAACTGAAAAGCTCGAAAGAGGAAATGGGACGGTGATGAAGATCAGAATTGAGGTTGCAATTTGTGTCAAAAGTGTGGTTAATATGTATGAGAGCTTTTCGATGTTTTTAAACTGTAATATATAATAGGCTAAAATCCTATTTTCACATCTGTTACCTATAAAAATTTCAATTAAATTTTTAATTTTTATTTAATTCAATTTAGTTTTTTAATTTTTAAAAATATTCTATTACATTCTTTCTATTAAATTAACGTTAGATTTAAGTTAAAATTTATATATCAAATTACTCAACTTAAAAGAACCTAAATATTCAAATGAGAAATGCAACTATCCTTGCGCTAACTGATTTTCTTAATTAAATAAATTTTTTTACAAAGATTAAATTAATGAAAATTTTCATACTTAGTCTACTTAATATATATATATATATATATATATATATATATATATATATATATATATATATATTAGTAAAAAAAGTTCTAATGCGTTTATTATGCTTTGGTGATATTACGTAGTAAACACAAAAAAAGGGTTTTTATAGCAGGAGTCCTTGTCATATATTCTTAAAATTAAATATTTATAATTAAAAATTTAGAAAAAAAGTTTAATATTCAAATGAGAAGTGTACAACTATCTTAATGCTAATTGATTTTTTTAATTAAATAAAGAATAATGATACTTGAACAACATTTTTTGACAATATTTTAACACCATCTACGTGTTATTCTGTAATTGGTTTATGTTGGTGTTTATGATTATTATTATTGATTATAAAGTAATTTTGGACCAATTATAGAATGACACATAGATGATGTTAAAATGTTGTTAAAAAAATGTTGTTAAAGTATCATTATCCTTAAATAAATCATTTTCTTTACAAAGATTAAATTAATGAAGTTGTAGAGTCTAACAAATATATTCAAGATGTTATTTAGTATTATTAGTTTAAAGTGGTTAAATAATATTAACATAAAATATTTATCGGTCCTCTTACAGTAGAATAATGGTCAAATCTTTAGTAGTTTGATTATATGATGTATCGATATCATAAATATCCTTTTATATCCTATATCAATAAAATATATGATTAACTAATATATTATTATTATTATGTTAATTTATGATATATGTGGTAAAATTTTATTATTTATAGATATTCTTTTATGTTCTTTATTTTATAATATATTTTATGAGCTTAAAAGAATCTCTTTATATACACATTGTATCTTTTTAGGAAGTACAATTCATATTCATTACTCTATTATCATATATCCTAAAGTTTTCTTAGTGACATGAGCATTAGAGAGACTTTTATAAGGAATCTTCTTTTTTGAACAACGAAGGGATTATTAGGAGTGTTCAAGCGACCACTTGAATCTTGTCACCTGTCCAAACATTTACACTTTGGATCTAGTAAGAACATATGGTGTCCACTGTGGACTTAGGTAAAACTTGATTCTATATCTCCACATTTTATACTATCATTACCTTGCGTAAAGAAAATCATTACCATTGACACAATGATCTTATGTCTTATCATAAGCATTTTATAATCAAAATTTGGTAATGTCATTGAGGAGTGCTATCTTGACACTCCATATCTCTTTTATATTAAATATTTTATTATAATATGAGATTTTTCAAAATTTGTGAGAGATGTTGAATGTGTGAAATGGAATAGGAGCCTTTCTCACTCACACAACAGTGGCAACTATCACTCTTCCTCAAACAAAATTGTCAGAGTACTTTCAGTGTCTGCATTTTCATTAATCTTAAAAGCTATCATAATTTATAATAACATCTAGGTCAAAGAAATCATCAACATGGCTGCCTAAGTCATAAACACCAACATATATACCAATAGGTTCAATGTCTAAAGCTAAATCAACAATCTAAAAACTGAATTTGCAAAATAACAATAACTTCAACTATAATATTTTTAGGCTCGTGTAGACCAATTGTGATGAGTTGCTCATATGAGAACTCAAACCAAATGTAGCGAAAAAAGTTGCTTGGGGTTTGGCAGCAATATGCAGATGTGAAATAGTGGTTGTAGATGGTGGAGGAAGAGCTGTATGGAGGATGAGATCTCTAGCTCAGGTGGCATTCACTGGAAGGAAGCTAGGAGGAGGAGGAAAGTTCAATTTAGAGTGACTTTCAGACAGAGTTTTGGGTTGGGAATACTTCAGCAGAGTAAAACTCATATATCAACAAAAGTGACGTACAAGGCTTAACAAGGGGGAATTTATAGGAGAGATTCCCCTCCTAGTCTCTACATCTATGGTGCTAAATCGTTCCTACAAGTGTGGATCTAATGCCATGTGGACAGGCATGAAGTGGGTGCTGAAGATCTAGAAGAGCGCGTAAGATACACATGCAAAAATGTGAAATTTGCATAATTGGCGGGATAAGAGAATGACACCCAGTGTGACTCGGTCAGGATGTCTTGGTTTGCTGGATCTAGACGTCGCACGCTCGAGCGACAACAGGCAGGGTGCTCAGGCGCCAATGGATTGGTGAAGCTCCAAGTTTTCTACCCTTCTCCATGGGCTGGTATGTCTCTTGTTGATCCTTCTGGATGGGCTCCTGGCTTCCATTCAAAGCATGTGAATAATGCTTGTCCTCCTAGGTTTAGATCTTCTAAATCTTTTTGAAGCTTCCTAGCCATGCTCCGAGTGATGGGTCCATGACTTGTCTTGGGACCCAAGTCATCATCTCCTCCCCCTTGAAGAGGATTTGTCCTCAAATCCAAAGGGTCTATATCATCCTTGTCTTCTCCTGCAAAATGACGAAGGTCAGTAACATTAAAAGTGGACTGGACACCATACTCAAGAGGAAGGTCTAATTGATAGGCATTATTATTGACCTTCGTACAGATCTTGAAAGGACCATCTCCTCTAGGACTTAGTTTGGACTTCCTTTGGTGAGGAAATCTTTCTTTGTGAAGATGAAGCCAAACTAAGTTTCCTTCATTGAAGATCATTTCCTTTCTACCCTTATTGTTATACATGGTATATCTTTCATTTTGCTGTTGTATTTTCTTTCTAATCCTCTCATGGAAATATTTGATAAATTTGGATTTAGATATCCCTTCTTGATGAACAAAGTCAGAAGATGAAGGGAGGGAAATTAAATCCATGGGTGTAAGAGGATTAAAACCATATACAGCTTCAAAAGGAGAGATTTGAGTAGTTTTATGAACTACTCTGTTGTAAGAAAACTCCACATCTAAAAGATACTCATCCTAAGATTTGTGGTTTCCTTTGTGGACTACTCTCAACAAAGTGGATAGAGACCTATTTACTACTTTATTTTGGCCATCTATTTGCGGATGAAAAGTAGTAGAGAAAGAAAGCTTAGTTCCCACTCTAGACCATAAGGTCCTCCAAAAGTGACTAAAAATTTTGGTGTCTCTATCAAAAATAATAACGCGAGGTAGTCCATGAAGTCTAACCACATCTCTAAAGAATAACTTAGCCACATTGTTTGCTATTAACTCATTGACAAGTGTACCAAATCGTATCAAGTAATATAAAATGGTAAGACCAAGTATCGTTTCTCAAGAGATTCATGTTACTAAACAATCGTATAATCACTTAACTAATTAAGACTAAAGAACGATTCCATTGAATGAAATTTAATTGCAGTAAAAGTAAACATAAAAACTTGAATGTAAAATTGATCAATTGAGGCTAAAACAAGAATGAATGAATGATTTAAGATGATATGAGATGATGATGTTGTTGGGGTTAAATTTCACCTACATCACTTTCATGCATATTAGAACTCATCTTCTTCATTGGAATCATCCCTTACGAAATTACTTAGAACCCGATCCCTCGACGTAAAAAGCCTAGCCTTAGTTGTTAGACCTCAATCCCTTGAATCCCTAATAACCAATTCCGCATTAAGAAAAAAATCTTAAGACAATCAAACGTCCTATCCCTATTCCTAGGAAATATTCCCTTTGGGAGAAATCCTCCAGATCATGATTCATAAGATATTTCCCAATACTCAAACAAATCAAACATCAAGTCATGAGTGGCCAAAACAAGACAAGCATTACGAATAGGAGAAAATCACTAACATTCAATGAAAGAAGCATAAAATACTTAAAACATGCTCAAATACATGAAAGTTTAGAGGTTACATCATCCCCAACAACAAATGAGTTTAGTTCTCCATTGTCATGGAGAACCTTGGTGTATAATGGAAGAATGAATGAATGAAAACCCTAGAAAGTGAGAAGGAAAGCCCCCGCATCCCAATATTCCTCCAAGGGTCGAAAATTGTGTTTTTGTGCTTCAGCCGTCCAACGATCTCAATCCAAATGTGAAGAAGCCTTTAAATAGATCAAACATGGATCATGGACCAACGTCGCTAGCGCTCAGTGCCCTAAGTAGGGAAACCAGGCGAGCTGCGAGACATGTAGTTGGCGCTCAACGCCCTGGATAGGGGCAAGCAGGCGACACTACGAGAAGAGTGGTGCTCAGCACCCCAAATGGGGGCAAGCAGGTGTGATACTGTGTAACTGACTAGCGCTAAACGCCCCTGGAAGGGCACCCAAGCGTGCTTGCGAGATCCTTGGCCCTCAGCGCCCCTGAAGAGGGCGCCCAGGCATCCATGCGAGCCTACCTGCGCTGAGGGCCCCAAAAAAGGCAACCAATTCAGCCTTCTTCTTTGGTGCTTTTGCTGTCCCTCTTGAGTTCCAC